CTCTCCCCGAGGAACTTTTTAGTCTTGGCTTCCGGCAGTTTCGACTGAGGGGCTCATCGGATGAACGATATCCTCTGCTGGATCGTGTCTTCGAAGGAGCCGGAGGTGATTATCGAAGGGTTATGCGTTTTGTACCTTGATAGTTTTCCTTTGTTTTTTTACTCTATGCCATTGTAACTGACACCCTTCGGTTTAACCACTCTGTGTCTTATTTTTGTAGGTAGCAATATGGACGTCATCTCTCTTTTTGCCTTGAAGAATGCCAAGGGGAAAAAGAAGGGCCCGGTGGGCACTTCTGCCAGGGAGGAGTCATCCCAAGCCACTACTGCCGGTGCTGGCGTCGGGGGGGGGGGGGGGGGGGTCCAAAGTTGCTGGGCCCTTGAAGAAAAAGAACAGTGGCAAGGGGACCGAGCCCCCGGCCAAGAAGTTGAAAGCCACAGCCCCCGCCAAGCAGCCGATCACTGACGTGGTTGTTATTGTGGACGAGGGGCACGCCTCTGCCCCCACCCCTCAGGAGCACATCAACCAGGAGTTCTTCGGCCGGGAGAAACTGGATGCGATAGTGCCGAAGGGGGCTTTTGTACTGGAGGGTAGCCTAAACCCGTCGGCGCTGATGAGCCAGATGCTACCCTCGGTTGATCGCTTGGCCCTTGCTAGGATGGACGAGGGCTCCCTCGAGGCCAAGATTCTCCTGAACACTGCCTCCGTGAGTCATGCCTTTCTCTTTCCTCTGTATTTGTTTTTGCTCTCACATACCTCGTTTATCATGTCTAATCGTCACCTTTGTGGACTGTGAGCACCTTCGAAGGGTGGAGCAGATGAAGGAGGCGAAGGGTGCAGCCGAAGGGGAGGCTGCCCTCCTTAGGAAGAGGCTGGCTGAGGCCGAGGATTCTCTCCGCTTGGCCACCGACAGCATGGAGCGGCGGGTGCAAACCGCAAGGGCCGAGGGGAAGAACGAAGGCCTGGCTGAGGCCAGGGAGGCTGCAGCCGAGGCCGCGCGCGTTGCTGCTGAGGAAGCCCGTGTGGCTAAGGAAGATGCCGTCTCCAGAGCCCGGGAGGATGCTATAGCCGGCTTTATTGATGGGACTCAATGATGGATAGTGTACCCGGGGGTAGCTTATCCGAGGGGTTATTGCGGAGAATAACTAGAGAGAAGTCAGAGCAAATAAGTAAGAGAGAGAATGTATATTCGACATGTATTAAGCGTGGTTTACAACGGGGGAAAGGGGTGTTATTTATAGTAGTAATAAATGCTAGATAAGGACGCTTGTCAGTTTTCTGATGGTCGAGGGGTCACCTCGACCGGGGTGGCACTGACACTCGCATGTGGCCGCATTAAATGCGGTGGTTGGGTGTGACGTTTGTACCTGGTACGGTGATCCAGGCGCATGTGAAGAGGATATTCTGTCGAGGTGGATGCCTTCGGCTGAAGGGTGCTGGGCCGAAGGCTCTTCTAACCGAGGGCTCCTACCTGCCGAGGGCTGCAGGTGCCGAAGGCTTGGTTTTCAAGCCTTGTTCTCCTGTGATGCCTCTTCTAATCGAGGGCTCCTACCTGCCGAGGGATACAGTTGCCAAAGGCTTGCTTTTCAAGCCTTGTTCTCTTGTGATGTTTCTGAGCTTGATTCCGTCACTGGTAGCCTTCGGCCATGGGGCCGAAGGCACCCCTTTGCGTATTGTGGGCTGCTTAGAGCTCCATTTTGTTGGGCTTGGCCCGTTTGGACCTGTTGGGCCTGATTGTAGTAGAGGAAGTATGTGGGCTGGGGATCCCTGGGCCATATACTCCATCAGTGGTATTCTTTTAAAGGAAAATATTTATTTATTAATGATAACATGATCCATACAAAAGCAATCCAGATTGTCAAATTAAGGGTAGATGAGGTGAGACATAGAACTAAATAGTTCTAAATGAACATAATAATTCGATAACCCAACGGAAAGGTAGACTCAGGGGCGGACCCACCCTAGAGCTAGGGGGTGCCCGTGCCCTGCGGTGATTTATATATATATTGGAAAATTATCAGGTCCAGCACCTCCCGGTCCGAACGCCGTCCGAACACCGCCGTTTGGGGCGGTTTCAGGTGGAATATTTTGATGAATTTTTTTGTGCATGTTCCTAATCTAGTCTAGTTTATCCATACCAAATTTCAGGTCAAAATTCGATCGGGAAGGCAGTCAAATAATTCGTTGAAGTTAACTGCGTTTTTCTATGTATAATTTGGCACAGTTAACTTCAACGAATTATTTGACTGCTTTCCCGATCGAATTTTGAGCTGAAGTTTGGTATGGATAAACTAGAATTGATGAGGAACATTGACGAGCACTTTGTCACGGTGCGTCAAAATAAATTCAATACTAAACACTTATACATAGTATAGCATAGTAGAGTTCGTATCCACAGGGAAAGGAATAATTCTCTTTTTATGATACTTAGTAAAAGGGGGGATTTGGATTGAGTGATTTAATTTAACTAAGAACTAAGATGAACAACCTATATGTGTTTAATTCAAAGATAAAAAGGACTTGGCATTGCTACTTTCCACTTGTTGATATATTTTAGTCGATCATTGTTATATCTATAACTTATTCCCTCTCGAATACTCAATCGGGGAGTATATCTACTTCATCGAGGGTAGTTATTAACAACGACCGTTCATTAATAACCCTTACTATTAATCAAATATAGAACAACGCCGTATACCGATTTAATAGTAGCATTTAATCTTTCTAACTCTTTGATGAAATCAATTGAGATTGATAACCTCAACACAAGCGGTTTCGGTTTAACCAACAAAATTAATCCCTCTTAAGTTTATTAACCACGACCGTGCATTAATAAACCGAAGTTACTTACTTGTGAAACCATCAACGATTAAACATCGGTTCGTTGATCGTTTCTAGTAATAATTAATATATGAAACAAAACTAGTTGATCCTTTAAGTAATGTTCAAAATATTAATATGAAATAAGAGTAAGAATTAATTAATAATCAAGGAAGAATATTATTAAAGAAGATGAATCCTACTATAATTAATATCAAGATGTTAACTAATTGTCATCTTAGCAACACTCCTCAATATTAATATAGAGGAAGAAAATACCATTCTAACTAATGTCGAGATGTTAACTAATTGTCATCTTAGCAACACTCCCCAACATAAATATAGAGATGGTATTAAGGAAAGAACTATTAATTAATATTCAAGGAAAGAAGTTAAGAAAATAACTCACAACTTTAATAATCAACAAGCTTCAAGAGCAACACCAAGAATGGAAGTTTAGCTCCTCATTTGGAGACTAAACATAGCTAAAAAAATATAAAGAAATGCTATTCTAAACTGAGCTAAAGAGTATGGAAGAAGGGATGATTTTTTGTGAAGAAAAAGTGTGCTATTTATAGGTGTTTTTCAACACCTTTGGCCGGGTACCCGACCGGGTCAAGTACTCACCCGACCGGGTCCGGTCAAAATCAGATATTTCCCCACGTTCTGGTGATCTTCGGCATGTTAAAGTGTCCGGGTCAAGTCAGACCCGACCGGGTGGGGTAGGGGGCCCGACCGGGTGAGTGCAAAAATTGGATATTCTTTACGTTCGGGTGATCTTTGTACACCAGGTTGTCCCCGGTCACTTCTCACCCGACCGGGTGAGGTAGTGGGCCCGACCGGGCCATGCACTTTCTTTGCATTTTCGTTTTTCACTTCTTACCCGACCGGGTCAAGTGTTATACCCGGTCGGGTATTTGCTCCTGGGCAGCCAAATCTTCTTTTTCTTCACTTCAAAGTCTTCCTTTCCAACACCACAAATCCTAACTAAACTTTACAACTGACAAATAAAGACTAAAATACAATTACAACTGAAATCACATAAATGTTTACAAACTAAATAAAACGTCAAACAATCACCATCAATGAAACATAAAAACATACAATTATGCACTACTAATTAGTGTGCATCAAACATGCTCAAAAAAATTCATCAAAATATTCCGCCGGGAACCGCCCCAAACGCCGGTGTTCGGACGGCGTTCAGACAGAAAAGTGCTGGACAGAAAAGTTATGCCGATTGAGACTTATGATGTTAATATTAGAGATGAGTTGAGGAGACGTTATTTGAGAAAAGGTCCTTGCCAACCGAGTGACTTAAATTTCCACAAAGTGATTTTAATGGGTGCAACAGATCATTCCAAAAACAGTGGTTTTATTTAAATTTTATAGTTTTGTTTATTGCTATACTCGTGATGCATATGATTTTTTTCTAGACTAGTATATCATTTGTTTGTTATTGTGCCCATGCGAGTCACGAGTCCTGGTTCCGCCACTGGGTAGACTAGTTTATCAACATAGAAATTTCTATTGCTAAACTAATACAGTGATACCCCATCGTCCTCGAAAATTCTTCCCATGTTAGTTTGGATCAGAGTATAAGAAAGTGAGAATAAAGTGTAAATGTATGGTTGCGGTTGATTATGAAAAAGGTAAATGAATACGTAGTATTAGCCACACAATACTTTCCAAAAAGAGAAATGAGATTTTTTTTTGAACATTCCAAAAAGGTAAATGAGAAGAATTTTCAAGGACGGAGTAATAATCAAGATTAGAGAAAACACTAAACTACTATGCAATAGAAAACAAATATATAAAATGGTAAATTCATTAAAGTCTCTAAATTATAAATCATACTGTATATGTAACCAAACATAACAGCCCAACTGGTTGCGAGATTACCGTGTCTAGTGGGAGATCTCGAGTTCGAAACCCGCTAGGCACATAAATGTTTAAAACTCAATAAGTGAGTTTCAACCCTGATTACTCCAGTCCTAACCCCTGGAGTAAAAAAAAATCATACCGTATATGTAAGAGTATATGTAAGAGTAATTATAAAATAGATGGGGTTGAAGTATTTTTTGAAGTATTTTTTGAAGGGTAGTTGCGTGATTTATAAATCAATTTGTTTGGAATATTGATTTATTTATCAATTATCCCTCGTGTCACTCGTGCGATAAGGGAGAAGAAAACAAAAAAGTAAATAACGACCTCTAGGATCTTTCCTTGTTCCGCGTAATATTAAATCTCTACCTATAAAATTAAATAGGCCAACCCCCTCACTGGCCTCTATCCCTAACTTGTTTAGCTTTGCGTTCTTCTAATTGGCCGAAAATATCGATCGCCGTCGTGGACATAAACGGAAACTATACCGGAAAATGTTGCTGGGAAAGCTAGTGGATGCACTGACGCCGGCGGCGCAGAAGAAGACGGTAAAAGGAACGGCGGTTTTGATGCGGAAGAATGTTTTGGACTTGAACGATTTCAACGGCTCTATTGTTGACAATATCTCTGATATTCTGGGCCAAAAGGTGTCCATAGAATTCATCAGTTCTGCTCAGCCCAGTTCTGCTTCTTCCACTGGTCCGTTTCCGCCTTCATCTTTCTATATCTGCTTTCCTCTTTAGCTAGCTACGACCCCTTCAATTTTTTTTATTTTCTGCGATCTTTCTTCTTATTCCATTTCGATCTTGCGTTCTTTTTCTGATGGATTTTAAAATTCAAACCGTTTGTTTTGATATTTTATGGGTTTTCAAAATATTGCACAAAAATTATTTACTAAAACATTATTGCACAAAGAATTACGTCGTACTCGTATATAAAAATTATTCTTTTGATATTCTTTTGGAGATTATAGAAAAGTTTATTAGTGGTAAAGAAGTGATTGTTCGAAAAGAAAAAAATGATTTTGAAGTATAAAATCAGAAATTTGGTAAGCAATACGGAGTATTTTTTTAAAGACTCGAATTTTTTTTAGTTTTCAAAAATTAATTTTTGGAAAACATTTCTGTAAGGAAAATACTCAACATGGTATTTACAGTCGACACAACCGAGGAGCACCTACTTCGATGCAAATCTATGGTTAAGAATAACTTTGCAGATACAACTTTGCAAATTGTTTAGTGGACACCAGTAATGTGTACTGTGATTTGTCGAAATTATTCCTCCGTGCTAATAATAATTGTAACAACCATTCTTAAGGTAGACGTCTTCTACCCACCTTATACACACCATACCAAGTTTGTGAAGTTTATTTTTGTCTGTGAATACACACCTAAGTCCGTCCTTTAAAACTTTGTCAAAGTTGATCGGTACGGAGAATAATAAAGTAAAAACTGTGTGATTGAGGTTTGTGTAGAGCAGAGACAAATAACCGAAATCACAAAATAATTGATTAAAAGAGAAAGTGTCAAAGTTTTTTGGAATGTCTCAAAAAGAAAAGATGGCAAGGGGGATCCTGGGGGGCAAGTGCCCCTGCTTCCGATCCCGAAATTTAATTTTCGTACTTAAGATTTTTTGTAATAGACCTTCTGATTTTTTGTACGGTAATGTTAATAAAAGTTAGATATATAAAATCATATTATTAGATAAAGTTGTATTGAATGATGAAATAATAAAATGCAATTATGTGTAGTACTTCAATGGGGTAAAAAGAAACAAAATGCATTTTGTTAATGAAATAACAAAATGCAATTATGACGCCTCAGGAGTAAAAAGAAAAAAAAATAATGCAGTCACTTCTTCAGAACTTATAAGTTTCCACAGAAATACAAAATCAGCAGAGTTTGGTATTACTAAACATGCTCTTAGTTTGATCTATGCTGTACGAAGTATATGATTTTGTAATTTGTTATATTCAGTTAAAAGTTTCGAAAAACTTACACGGTACGATATAATAAGGTATATTATATACTCCGTAAGTCATAAATTAATATTTATAGTAATTGAAACTTTATTATGAAACGATAACTATATCTATCATCAATTAATCATAGTAAATTAAACTAAAGTTAAATAGGGACAATAGAGAAGAAACGGTCAAGAAACTGAAATAGGTAGAAAAGAATGCATTTTTGTAAAAAAAGAGCTACAAATGTTAAATAATGCCGCGTCACAACCGAAAGAGCTGCATACAACTTTCACTAGTTTGTAGTCAACCATATACCTATATAAAGTCAGTTGAACAAATAAGGTAAATTCTCTGATCTTTTTCTTTTTTTGATACAAAGGGAAAGGAAATTCTCTAGTCTTACTTTCCAATAGAATCTCAGTTTTTTAGTCCGTCTTATATACTGTAATTATTTACCGTAGTATCTATCATCTTCGTTCCAAATGGTTTTTTTGCAAAATCAACATTTTTTAGTTAACCGATGTTAAAGTTAAGTCATCATTAAAAAATCTCATTCAATTTTAATAATTAAAATCTTTGTAAAATTGCAAAATTTAAATTAAAATTTAATTAAGAATCGATAGCCTAATTAAGTGAATAAAATCAAACTGCTTGATCCCAAAACGTCAAATTTGCAACTAAATTTGGGATGGAGGGAGTATTATAAAGATAGATTGTGTAATATGTAGGTGATATAACTAATTTCAACAAATTATACTTATAAATTCACGTGATAAATTGAAACAAGCAATGAATGTAAGGCGCAGGGGTACTACACTGTGTATACTACGTACGTACTTTATTAATACTTCCTCCCTCCGTTCCTAAATAAACTTCCAACTTTCTTTTTTCGTCCGTTCCAATTAAAACTTCCACTTTCCCTTTTTGGTAAAGAATTTGTGGTTCACAACATTTCTTACACATTTCTCTCTCCTCTTCACAACTTTCCACCACACAATATCCACTATCTTAAACTTTGTGCCAAATCCATTTGGAAGTTAAAATGGGAACGGAGGTAGTACTTTTTAATACGGAGTACTACGTTCATGCATTTGGAATTTTTCATGCACTAGTTTGGTGGTTTCCTATTGAAAGATCCAGAAATTCACAAATAATTCTATTGTGGTCATCAGAATGAATGATTGAGTTTGAGGTCTCATGTTCAATTCACATTTCACAACCTAAACAACTGTATGCGGTGGCTTCTTATAAGCATAATACATTAACCAATCTCACTCGCAAATGGTTGGGATCATAACATGATTTACTCTCTCACTATCATTCCCTTAGATTGGAGTAACTTTTGTAACACTTGAGATTTAACATAAACGGATTAATAGTACTACTCATACCAACAATGTGCATCTCCTTTTAAGGGAGCTCATTATCCAAGAACTCCAAGTTAAGCGTGCTTGCACGGGAGTAGTCTTGGGATGGGTGACTCCTTGGAAAGTTTTTCAGGGCACGCACGAGTGAGGACAAACTGCGCGGAAAAGGCTAGTGACGGTTTGTGAGGACAGTACTGAAGGTCAGAAGTAACTATCTCGGGGCCTACGGGGCCGAGGTGTTACATCTTTACTCAAAAATTATTTGAGATGATACTGTAATTTACGTACTCTTGCAAGTTGCACCAATCTGTCAGGTGGTAATGTGAGAACGCTTGTGATGGGCAATTCTATTTTTGGGTTGAGAAATTCATAAATTCTCAATACCATAATTAGTGGAGAAACCTATTTTATGGGAGGGGATAAAGCTTAAAAAATTGTACAGTGAGTATAGTTTACCTGTATTTCTAATTAAATACTACCTCCGTCCCGCTATGATTGTCCCGTTTTACCTTATCGGTCCGTCCCACTAAGATTGTCCCATACCAAATTTGGCAAAGTTTGTGTGGTTCTAAATCATTCTTACTTTATTCTTACTTTATCAATTCAATATCAACCACATAAACCACTTTTTATTGATTTGCGTGTCACTCCCTCTTGTCCCATTGTTAGCAGGATGGAGGGAGTACTACGGAGTAGTATTATTACATACATGAAAACTTTAATTTGGGGGACAACAGGAAGTCAGGGACAGACCATCAAAGCCAACCTTTAAGGTGGTCCTGCCCCTAGCTTGTACCCTCCACCCACTCGCTAGTTTCTTTAGAACGTGCTCATTTTTAATACATAAAATACTTCTCCTAAATTGTGTCAACATCATTTTTGGCTCTTATATCATGTTATATACGGAGTATAATTAACAGTTATGGTTTCTCAGAAAAAAATTACCTTAGCTATTCCTTCGGTCCCGCAATTAAGTTACCACTTTTCTTTTTGAGCAGTTCCTAAATTAAGTTCACACTTTCTTACTTTCCTTATTTGTCAAATTATCTACATCAAAACAGTATCAAACAGTGCAAAACAATGTCCAAACAGTGCAGAACAATGCCAAACAGTGTCAAAATAGTAAAATTTATCTCTTTGTAAATTTATTTCCTTAATATGTGTGAAATTCATCCCGTAACTTAATTGGGGGATAGAGAGAGTAATAAAGAGTCCTATTTTGTTCACTCCTCTAAGGTTAACCGCAACCCAGCCCGTCAATAAATCTAATCTGACACCATTTTATACGTATTCACTCAGTTAATCCTGTTTTTCCTTGCAACCCAACATCGTCAGTATATTCACTCAACACATTCTTTTTTAGTTAAATCCTTACTTTTATTATCATACATAATTTTTTTCGCAAATTCTATTTTTGCAAATAATTATGATTTAATATATCAAACATTTCGATGTAAAAATAAATAAATTTGGAGTGAAATTTTTTTAACTAATTTTTTTAATGTTAAAATATCAAACTAATTTTTGTAACTGTATATATCCATGACTGGTGTCATACGAAAGATTATAAAAAGTTATGAATTTTGATATATTTTTTTATAAAAATTTGATCTTTAATAAAAAAGACAAAAAGTTATACTATCCTCCGTATCTCATTAATTGCAACATTGGAATATATACACTATTCATGTACTTTACTTTGACTACATTTTATTTATTAATGTATGTGAATTATTATTTTTGAAAAATGTTGTTAAATTCGTCTCATTACAAAGTTTTATAATCTGAATTTTATTTTATTTTTACTAATACAGAATTAAATATAATGACAGTCAAAGTTGTGCGTTGGCAAACATAAAATATTGACTGTTGCAACTAAAAAGAGACGAAGGAAGTATCATTTTAAAGAAATTTGGGATTTTGAGTTTTCATGGAGTCCACTTCTTTTTCTTTGGTGTGCACACCAAGTCCAGCTTTTTATCTCTCTTCAAGAGTGGATCGAGCATCCAAATTCCCACCCAAGGGTTCTACTAACCCACTATGAGATCCTAGTATACTTTGGTTGCACATCAGTTTGGGGCGAAAAGTTCAAATTTGGGTTTCCACCCCGGGGTGAACATCACCACCTTACTTCAATGCTTGTCGTGTGGCATATCTATTCATTTTTTTCTTAGAATTACTACAACTTTTTTATTTATGGTACATTTTTATAAAAAAATATATCAGATTTTTTAGTTTTTTATGAGCTTTCTAACGTTATCAATCTTGCACACAAAAAATATAAAAAATCCATTTTATTACATACGTAGTTTTAGCAAATGGTCTCATCTTCATCATCCAACTCCATGTTGCTGAAAGCCTGAGCCAAGCTCTCCACCTCCTGCTGTGCGTTAATCTTTCTCATCTCCAAGCCGAATTTGCTCTGTCACACAAAGCCTCTTCGCAGACTGAAGAAGCCCCTTCACGCAAATGTCCGCCAACAACTACCACTCGCCTATCAACCAAAGAAAGACCTAACCCAGAGTGCTAACCAAGAGCCCCTTCCAACACCGCTCAGCGATTATGGGAAGCCGCCGCCGATCGTCCGCCCCTGTCAAAACTGTTCAACCGTGGCCTAACCCTAGGGCCTAGGCTGCCGCCCGCTTTCAAAATATACAATGTGTTTTATGATGAATGGCCAAAATGTGACGAAAAGGATCTTGGGTGATGTGGAAAGTAAAAATTAAGGGGGTGAACATGGATATATACGTAGTATAATACTTTCACCTGGATTAATAAATTAAAAACTGTGTGGTTGAAATTTTTGCAGAGGAGAGAGAATTAATTTTAGCCACATATTCCTTACTTTAAATGAAAATGACAAATCTTTTTGGGATATCCAAAAAAGAAAATTTGACCAACTTTTTCGGGATGGAGGGAGTAGAAAAATTGGAAAGTTCAAACGGGAAGTCGCTTGACAAGAACCCCTTGGTCCGTAGAAAGAGGTTCCCAACTCGGCTTCAGGTCCAATTTGGATGCCACGAGGTTGAAGACTATAGGGAATGGCAGCGAGCCGCTTCTTTTCAAGCCTTTTAGCTTAAGGTCTAGGGCGGTTTTGACACCGATCCTATTTGGGATGATCCAGGTTTGCGGGATGTTTTTATTTGGACTAATTTCAATCCCATACCACATCAGATCAAAACAGACCATACATGATCAGGCAGACCAGACCAAACTTGAACAATTATAAAACACAAAGGAACCAAATTTTACTAGACCACATACCAATTCAGAATAAAAAAATAAGTTCATGATATTTTAGTCTTAAATGGATAGTCTTACATATATTCAAAAAAAATGAATGGTCTCAAAACATTCAGGTTTTGCAAATATAATTTCCATCTTTCAAATTCTTGATTTTTTTAATATAAAAGAGTGGCCTTTTATATTCATATTGAAAAATCATACAAGACAACATACAGACAGTTAAGATAGAGCTGATCATAAACTCTAGGAATAGACAGAAAATCAGTCACCTTATACAAAAAAACATGGTACGCTAGACATGAAATAGGTAAACTTAAGCCTACGACAATCAGAACTGAAACAATGTCTATCAAAAATTATACATAAAAATCCCAATATTCAAACCAAAGCTATTCGAAGTAAAATAAAAATATGTACTACTAAATGAAATATAAAATTGAAATAAAACCTTTGCACAAAACTCTTTCTGGCACAAAGATGTTTTTGAAGGAGGACGAGCTCTAACATTTTCTATGTCGTCATAAAGAAGGCAGATAGAAACTCACGACAAGGTAGAACCATCCTAGCATAGAAGAAACACAATCAAAAAAAGAAAATGGATCTTATTAAAAGTTATTTCCTCCTTCCCATTAAGACTATTCCATGTTTCCTTTTAATTGTCTGAGAAACATTATTTCAACACCTGCATATTGTATGAAAGAACAACTCCATTCCAGGACATAAGAAATACGGAGTAACTCAAATAAGTATGGCTTCTTTAAATTCCGATATTCTGTGGATGATTAGAGACTAGTGACAAGGTATCTGATTTGCAGGAAATGGACTAACAGGAAAGCACAGCAAGGCATCCAACTTGGAACACTGGCCGCTCCACAACACTCTTTTAGCCTCTGGCGAGTCGGCGCTCCATTTTGATTTCGAATGTACAGAAGATTTTGGGGTTCCAGGAGCATTCATCATCGAGAACAATCACCCCAATGAGTTCTTCCTCAAAACCGTAACCCTCGAAGATGTTCCTAATCATGGCCCACTCCACTTTGTATGCTTCTCTTGGGTCTACCCTGCCAGTAAGTACAACTATAAGCGCGTCTTCTTCGCAAACCAGGTACGAATTTCACCTCCATCACCAGTAATTGAGTTCCTGTAATGTTATTCATTTCATAGGTATTGATTATCTTCGTCTGTAAAATTTGGGATGAATCCTTCATTAGAACTGATGCTTGTTGTTTGACGATACAGTCCAGTTTAATTATGCTAAACCTTTACTCAACACTTTTATTAAATATTGCAGGCTTATCTACCCAGTGAAACGCCTGCCCTGTTGAAGCAATATAGAGATGAAGAATTAGTGAACTTGAGAGGAACAGGAACTGGCGAGCTTAAAGAATGGGATAGAGTGTATGACTATGCTTACTATAATGATCTTGGTGAGCCAGACAAAGGTCCAGAATATGCTCGGCCAGTTCTGGGTGGGAATTCAGAGTATCCTTATCCTCGACGAGGAAGGACGGGCAGATCACCAACAAAAACAGGTAACACATCAATGGTTTCAAAACTCTCACCCTTTTTTAACCAGTTTTCGTATTCAGCATGTTGTTTTGAACTTCCCTTATTGCCTTTCAGATCCTAATACTGAGAGTAGGATTCCCCTTATTTCGAGCTTGGATATATATGTTCCCAGGGATGAGAAATTCGGACACGTGAAATTGTCTGACTTTCTTACTTATGCTTTGAAATCTCTGGTCCAGTTCCTTCTCCCCGAATTCCAGTCTCTGATTGATTCTACACCAAATGAGTTTGACACCTTTCAAGATATACTTGACCTGTATGAAGGAGGGATTAGACTGCCGCAAGGGAACTTGCTCAAAGCCCTCACAGATAACATTCCTATTGAGATCCTGAAAGAAATTCTCCGTAGTGATGGGGAGGGACTCTTTAAGTTCCCAACCCCACAAGTTATCAAAGGTATTTGTAAAGCTTCTGTTTACATCCTTATGGTATATAATTCTTGCCATACATTCCTAGTCTCTAAATTGTGGGTTTCAAAATAGAGGATAAAACTGCCTGGAGGACGGATGAAGAATTTGGAAGAGAAATGCTTGCTGGAGTGAACCCTGTCATCATTAGTCGCCTCCAAGTAAATGAGCTTCTTTAAATTATTTAAAGTTCTTGACAAATGAAAACATACACTGGTGACCGAATCTTCAGTTAAAGGTAAAAGATGAATCCTTAAGTTGTTCACTATTTTTATGTGCAGGAGTTCCCACCAAAAAGCAAACTAGATCCTAATGTTTATGGTGACCAGGCCAGTAAAATTACCAAAGAGCATATCCAAGACAACTTAGATGGTCTTTCAGTTGAGGAGGTAGTTTTATTTTGTTTGATTGTTGTACTTAATTTGTAAAACTAATTGGCTGTCCCATTTATCAAGATATTAATGATATGTGATGCTATTGGTACAGGCAATCAAGACTAACCGGCTATTCATATTGAATCACCATGACACGCTTATGCCATATTTGAGGCGCATAAACTCAACAAGTAACAAAATATATGCCTCAAGAACCTTGCTTTTCTTACAAAAAGATGACACTTTAAAACCTCTAGCAATTGAACTTAGCTTGCCGAATCCGCTCGGAGATGAATTTGGTGCTGAAAGCAAAGTGTACACACCAGCTGAACAAGGGGTTAAAAATGGATTATGGCAATTAGCTAAAGCTTATGCAGCTGTGAATGATTCAGGTGTTCATCAACTACTCAGCCATTGGTATGTATTTTTGTCTGTTAAAAAATAAGCTTTTTTTTGTTATTCGATCTATTACCTATTACGTCAATTTTGATTTTGAATGCCTGTTTCAGGTTGAACACACATGGAGTAATTGAGCCATTTGTAATAGCAACTAATCGGCAATTGAGTGTGCTTCACCCAATACATAAGCTTCTACATCCCCATTTTCGTGACACAATGACTATCAACGCTTTGGCTCGCCAGATCTTGATTAATGCTGGTGGAGTTCTTGAGAAGACAGTTTTCCCTGGAAGATATGCCATGGAATTGTCAGCCGTAGTTTACAAGGATTGGGTATTTACTGATCAAGCACTCCCAATTGATCTTGTTAAGAGGTATGCCATGATTCCCATATCAATGTTTTTGTCTTGTCTTACTAATGCCATGTATACAAATCATAATCCTGATGAACAAATTGTATTAGAATGATTTTTTTTTAAATGATGAAAATATCCCAAATACTTCCTTATTTTGAGGTCTTTGAAGGGTTTTGATATTTCTCTAAGAAATATCAAAAGAGAACTCGTCAAGTATTAAGAAATATTGAAATGTACTGTAATATTTTAGTAACTGTCAATATCAAAATATATCTGAATTATTAACCTCATTATTTATAAAAAAAACTTACAACTTGTGATCCCCCCAAAAAATGCTGATATCAAAATTGAAATATCCCTTAATTTCTCCATAAATTCAAAGTATCAACATGTTATTGGTTTTTCATTATTACAATTATGTCAGTAAAAAGGCTAAATAATTCAGTGTCATAATATAGCCAATGCAAGTCATTAAATAGTTACTGTAAATGAAATTTAAGAGGTGTGGCTGTTGAAGACTCAAGTTCTCGGCATGGTGTTCGGCTGCTAATCGAGGACTACCCATATGCTGTTGATGGGCTAGAAATATGGTCATCTATCAAGACATGGGTCAACGAGTATTGCATGTTGTATTACAAATCAGATGACATGGTTCAGAAAGATACTGAACTCCAGGCTTGGTGGAAGGAACTTAGAGAGGAAGGACATAGGGATTTGAAAGACAAGCCATGGTGGCCTAACATGCAGACAGTCCAGGAGCTGATCGACTCATGTACCATTATTATCTGGATAGCTTCTGCCCTTCACGCCGCAGTTAACTTCGGTCAATATTCTTATGCTGGTTATCTCCCGAACCGCCCAACATTGAGCCGCAGATTCATGCCGGAGCCTGGAACAGATGACTATAAGGAACTTGAAGTTGACCCGGATAAGGTTTTCTTAAAAACAATTACTCCCCAGCTGCAGACGTTGCTCGGTGTTTCCCTTATTGAGATCCTGTCAAGGCACACTTCAGATGAATTGTACCTAGGGCAGAGAGAGTCCCCTGAGTGGACAAAGGATCAGGAAGCACTTGATGCATTTGCACGATTCGGAAATAAGTTGGGTGTTATTGAAGATAGCATTATGAAAATGAACATGGATGTAAAGCTGAGGAACAGGACAGGACTTGTGAAAGTGCCGTATACCTTACTCTTCCCTACAAGTGAAGCCGGTCTCACCGGCAGCGGCATTCCAAACAGTGTCTCGATGTAGATGGAGCTTCCGAATTCTGTATGTATGATTACATTTGGATTGTTGATATGTGTCATTATTTCTTCAATAAATTTATCTCAGAGCGGATTACACATGTTCTTGTGTGATCCGTCTGATAAACACCTTCATTTGCACTGTGATTATAAGGCTAAATAATTGAGTTAAGAATGAATGTGGCTGGGAATTGAGTTGAGAATGGATCTCTCTTTAGAAGAGTTGTGTTAGTAGCTGTATATTTCCCTTTCGTTTTACATTTAAGACTGATGTACGGAGTATATAATAAGAAAATCATTCTTGATAAGGAGAAGGTATTCCGTAAAAAGGGGTTTTCAATTTCTCCAGTATACTCCTTTTAAACTTAATCCCGTCTCTGTTGGTGTTATGTTCATTTTATCAAGAAAGAGGAACCATTATGTTGATGAACACATATAAAGCTACATTAATTCAGAAAACTCATTTGTGATTTTTCAAAAATTCTTATCCTTGTGAGTTGTGACAAAGTGTTTTGGTCTCACGCATCACCCTCTGGACCATGTTGTGCTTGTTCATGTCGTGCTATGGCCCACTCGAAATAGTATATAAATGATTTTTTGTAAAAAACACTAAATACTACGTATATAAAAATTGTACCACTGTACCAGCCTAATTGGCAATAACCGAGGCAGATTGGGGAAGGGTACACATAAAACTGAAACTGCCACTTTGAATAAATGTTTTTCCCAAAATTGCCCCATTACCCGTTCGGGTAACTTTTATTTGAACCGTACCCGCCTCAACGGGGAATCGATTTATCCACAGGTGACTACCCAAATGATACCAAATAACCAATTTCTAATCCTACTTGTTAATGTAAATATCCTTCGTAGTAAATTATATATTCAAAGCAGCACATACAAAAGTACATATTCAAGCAATCAAGGAGTTTTATTTCTAAATTCGTTAGTATGACAAGCACCCAATATCATAATACGTAGTAAAAAGTAGTAATCTTCTCAGAATCCAAATTCAAAAAACAGGTTTATTCCTATATTTAGTTTTAGGCCTTAAAAAGTAGTAATCCATCGCAAAAATAGTTTTATGCCTAAATTCATTACACTATCAAATTAATGTTCAACACTTCAACATCTAAAATCTAAAATCCGATTGTTCAACACTATAACAACACTTCAATATGGATATGCATTTTTTTTACTCCAGGTGGCGTCTGGGGGAGGGGAGCTGGGGGAGCCTGGAGTAATCTAGGCTGAAACTCACTCCATTGAGTTTCGAACCCGAGACCTCCCATAAGGGAGAGTGAGTCGGCGACCAGCAGAGCTGGACCGCTTCCTCCAATATGGATATGAATTAATATATCATCATCATCATCATCATATATTAATGCATATCCATCTGGTGTATTATTTTTTATATACTTATATGATATATACTCCGTACGATTTAGTATATACACAATTTAGCATATATACTTATTATTCATATATATAAACGTTATAACTTATTAATAATGTTATGGATCGGGTAACGGTCTGGGTACCCGCACCATTAGTGAACGGGGCGGTTTCGGGGCGGATAACGGGGCGGATTATTATAGAACCATAACTGCACCATTATCCATTTATAAAAATCGGGTATTTTCGCCCCGTACCCGTTCCCCAGTCAAACCGGTTTTCCCCAGTTTGACCAAATCGGTTCGGTGCGGGTATCCTACGGGTTGGCCGAATCACTAATCTTCATTAACCGAATCAGGAGTAAAAACGTTTGAAAATTTCAAAATAGGTCTGTCGTGTTTATATTTTTTAAATAAGAGTAATTACGGTCAAACTTGGAAAATATATTAGAAAAATATTTGATATTATCTAATACTACGTATATTTAAGTATTAATTATTTATTGGATCATAATTAGATCTTATCTTATTCGCCTAACTCTATTATAAATGGGGTTCTTTATATGAAGTAAAGTGAGGAGATTCATTCATCAAATTTACTTCTATAGTTTTGCCCACCAAAAATGTAGCCCCTTCACAATGGCATAAACTATCAACATCGTTTAAAATATATTATGTGTCTCCTGATGCTCTCATATTTTTCTATCCAATTCTATTATTCTTCTTTAATTTTTATATTTTTCGTTGTTTACAAATTAGCACGCCTAATGGGATGGCTTTGCTTCAAGGCCGATCCTGAGATATTGGAGGCCCTGTTTAAAAATAAATAAAAGGCCCTAAGTTATAAAAGAAAAATATACAAATTTATAAACACATGTAGTGATAAACTTAAAAACACACAAAGTAAAATCATCTCCAATGCAACAATGTGCACGGTGCACATGTGACATGTGAGATAATCACATAAATATTAGTAAATAAATTATCTATCTCCTTATTTAAATGATTTTATACAATTTTGATAAATTTTTCTCTGCAATGTCAAGGAGACCATCTAGATGTAGACATTGTAGTTGACATTGTTAAAAAAATTACCAAAATTGAACAAAATCATTCAAATAAGAAGAGAAATAATTTATTTACCAATATTTATGTGGTCATCTTTCATGCCACATGTGCACCGTGCACATTTTAGCATTGGAGATGCTCTAAGTATAAAATGTAATGAAAATTTTGTTTGATTCCTAACAAAAAATATCATAACGAAAAATCCAAATAAATAAAAGATGGTTTAGCTAACTAATTAAGTCATATATTTCCGAATATAAGTCTTTATATAAGGAAATCAAGAACTTAAATTATATACCAAGTACGATAGTATATAATAACTATTTTATAATTTCTAGAAAAACACTCCTATATGGTCTAATAAAAATATGAGTTAAAAATTAGGGAAAAGTACGGAAAATGTACTTGTGGTTGGGGCCGTTTTCAAATAGGGTCATGTGTTTCATTCTTCATCAAAGTAGTTCATGTGTTTGAATTCCGTTATCACAAGAAGGTCACGCTGTTAAAAACGTCTGAAAAAGATCGTTTAAAGTAACTCTGATTTTCAAAAGTGCCGAAAAATTAAAAGAAAAATACCGAAAAGTGCGCCTCAATAAGATACCGCTAGATCATCTTTCTTTTTTGTTTTCAGCCACCCTTCTCACCGGAAAGTCCATCCTTGTCACATACGGATCCAAAGCCAGCTAGTCAGCTAAACGCAAGTGGACAAACATGCTGATGAGAGATGATCGGTGAGGATGGCACGTGGCATCTAAAACAATCAAATTTGTCTCATGTGACACACGCTTTGCTGCTTTCCTCACATCTTGGCTACACGGAGATCGCACCGGAGCAGACTTATTACTCCCTAAATATATACAAACAGGGGCCCTCCGTCAAATTGAGGCCCTGTACGTGCGATCGCACCGCTTGCGCAGCCCCATGCCCGGCCCGGCTTTGCTTCATCAACATAAACGTTGATACACTTCGAAGAATTAGAGGATTGAACGTTTATATTTAAATTAATGCAAAATGCACTATTCAAAAATTAGTGCAAAATGCACTTATATCCGTTCAATAAAAATTACTGCACTTAATACTGCAGTTCCCGCACGACATTACTTCACGACGTTAGTGTAATTCGATAATAATCAATGCACTTTCGCCAACATTAATTCTCTTCTCATCCATTTTAGCAATTTTTTAAAAATTCCTTTTTATTTTTTAGATTTAATAGTATTACTATTTTACGTCTAATTAAGTATACTGCATTTCATGATGACATTATTGCTCTGCGTTACTGCACTACTGGTCATAATCATATCAGTGCACTTCCTGCCAATGTTGTCACGCCATCTATTGTCTTCGAATCATTGCACAACACACTTCTTCGTCAATGCATTCATTCACTGCCCATGTACAATATTACCTATTGTCATATTCACTCTCCATACTTAACACTATCTATTGCAATGTTCATTGCTCATGCTTAATGCACACAACCCCTAATTTGGACAAACCATAATTTCAAAAATAGAAAATGAAAAATAAGAATGGTGACGAACGGCTGGTCGACGGTCGCGAGTTGGAGTGCGGCTGGATGGGGACGGAGGTGCGCGGTTGGGCGGCGGCTGTGGGTAGGCGCGATGGCGGTGGCGCCCTGAGATCAGAACGGCTGCGGCACGCAGGGCTCAGGACGGCGGCAACGCACATGTCTCGAAAAGGTGGGCATCACACATGTATTGGGACGGCGGCACGCTGACGTGGGTTAGGTGATGGCTGTGGCGAGCAGGCGTGGGGATGGGGTGGCCGAGCAAGCAAGCGACTGGACATGCACAAGTGGTCGGCATGCACCCGTGCTCCTTGACAGCGGCGGGCCGAGCGGCGGAGGCAATAGAGGGCATGCGGCGGGATAAAGGAGGCAGGTGGATCTTGAGCAAAGGGAGACTGGAGGCTAGGGTTGGAGAAAATAATAGGAACTTGAGATTTTACAGATAGAACCTAACAAGCTAAGTATATTTGTCCATAAAAATTATTTATTCATTTATTACGAATTTTAATTAAATATTACAATTTTTTAAATTACTTTGATAAAAAACTAGTTAGGTCATAGATTGGGAAAGTAAAGAAGTTTTAGTCATACCCTAAGATAATTTTTTCAATATTATGCCATTTGAATCTAAAGGTCCTTTTGTTAAAGTAAAAAATGAGTGGGAGAGTAAGTCATTTGAACACGAAAGCCCTTCTATAAACAAGTTCAAGATGTAAGTTTAAAGCCAACCCAAGTCGAGACCGCAAAGGCATGTGGTGAATTACATTTCAGAATTAATGACCCCTATATTACTAATAGACTTTTGAATTCCTAAAACATGACCTTTTTTCGATTTCCCCAAAAGTGACTCAACCTTTACTGTACCCCTTCGTTGCCAAACATTTCGTTCCTTCATTCCTCAAGACAAATTCGTTGCTTCCCTCTTGCCAGCTAATTGCTCCGCTGGATAGTAGCCAAAGCCGACACACGTCCTCCAAAGCCTGCCGCAGCCCCCATCACAGCTAGCGCAATCCACGATTTCACCCTGGTAAGTCGTCGTCCCCGTCACATTTTTTATTCTGGCGAACACATCGGAGTTCCTTCTCGCTATGGCGAGCGACGGCAAATTCTACTGAATTCTATAAGCGACAGCGAGCGATGGACAAGGCTAGTCGTGACCGGATCTGAGGCTGGTTGCGAAGTACTGGCATGGGCCTGGGGCAGGGGAGGGGTCGGGACAAGGTCTGCGGCTGGGGCTGCGGCAGTACATGGTGTGTGGTGGATTGGGGGCGGGGTGCATGGAGGGGTGCGGCTCTGGTAGGGGTGTGGTGTGGTGGTGGGATGTCATTGTTACAGGAGCAGGGTGTGGTCTTGTTAACCTGGCTGGGAGGGGGAGCCGTGGAGGGTGGTGGTCGGGTTGGGATAGGGGAAGGATTGCATCGGGGCTGGGCTGGGGTTTTTGAGGGGCCTGGGGAGGGCAATGGTTGTGCGGCGGGAGTTTCCGGAAGATCCGGCGGCGGCTATTGTGGTCAAATGGCAGTGGTGGCACTAACCGAAAGAGGCAAGGCGGAGTTCAGTGCATCTGGCGCCAGTGATGTCTAAAGTGACACAGGTGGTGGCTAAAGTGACACGGGCGGTGGCTAAAGTTACACGGGCGGTGGCTACAGTGACACGGGCGGTGGCTTCAGTGACACGGGCGGTGGCTACAGTGACCCGAGCAATGGTTGTAGTGACACGGGCGGTGGCTACAGTGACACATGCCGTGATTGTAATGACATGGGTGGTGGTTGTAGTTACAAAAAAACGAAAAAATTTTCAGTGACATCATGTTTTCTAATTGCACATATATGATTTTCTTGATCACTTTTTTACCCCTTTTTAAAAGTGGTCACTTTTTGGGTAATTGGTTCAAAATTAGTAATATCCAAGTAAAACCCCTACATTTCGAGACTCTCTAAATCTTTTTCTACACCTTTACTATCAAACGAGCACGTCTCGAGGGGGCATTTGTAGACATCGAAATTTTCATTTATCCAATACATCTTAATACGATAGTATTATCTAATAAATTTGATACTATCTATTTATTACTGGTATTTGATATAAGATAATATTAAGTTTGAGAGAAACTTTGAAATTATCTAATATATTTAAGTATTTATTATTTATTGGATAATATTTAGAACTTATCCTTCTAACTCTATTATTAATAAGGGTGTCCATTAGAAGAAAATAGAAGAGATTCATTTATCAAATTTACTTCTATAGTTCTACCGTAGACCTGTCACTGATTTTCGATTTAATCGAAACTGGAACCGGTTGAATAGACGGTTTAGAACCTTCAGTTGTATTGACGTTCGGTTTGTTGGATATTTGGGAACCGGACGGTTCTGGTATGAAATTGGAGTATTTGAATAAAAAAAATACTTTCAATGCCTTTTCAAAATGAAACTATAGATTGATTCGTTTTAGAAAAACACCTATGACCTATACATCATGTTTTCTTAATTAGGCTAATAGTCTTATATTAGCAATCTTTATTTATATGAAGTACGATAGTATTTATTATATTTATTATTAAAAATCACATTCTATATTTGCATATATGTAAATTAATATATTAAGGTGAAGGAAACGAATACAGTGAAGTTAAACATTGTTGTTTTATTTATAAAACAGTACTCCTGATTTGTATTTTACTAAAAATATATTATGAATTGAGTTTCGAATATTTTTTCCCAGTTATTTTAAAAACCCTAAGCGAAGAGCGGCCGTCTCCCTTGAATAAGGGTTCATCCATAAGCGAGAGTACTTTTTAATAAACTTCATCATAGGCACCCCTAAAACATTTTTATTTGGCGATTATTCTTTGTAAGAATAAGCAAGAGATTAGAAATGTGATCTAATCTGTCCAATTACTTCATCAGACACTCTGAATGATTGGGACAACACATCCACCGGGATTACTGAGTCCTTTCCAAAGAGCTGGGCCGGTATGATTTTCAGACCAGGATTCTGGCCACTGAACATTGAAATGGTCGTCGCCTTTTCAGGACCAATGTTTTTCCCGAAATGAATAAGGCTTTGGGGTATAACAAACACATCTCCGGCACTGTAATTTCCGGCAAAGACACGGCTTTTGGAACTGTCAATTGGGTCAACGGTTACAAATCCGAAGAAGACCTGCCCTTGTAAAACCAGGAACATCTCAGTTGCTCGCGGGTGGATGTGGGGTGGAATGGCGAAACCGACCGCAAATTCGTTCCGGATCATGGCGAGCCCGAGCGTGTTCAGCCCGGCTATTTCTTCCACAGTAGCGGCGCTGTAATTCCACCCAGGGAATCCTGCCCGCGGAGACGACGCCGTATTCAAACCCGACCTGGAGAAATCGTCTACTGTAACAAGTTTTGGGTCTTTGCACGCCATCCCATTCACAAAAACTGCACAAATATTTCAAACAAATTACTAGACATAAAGTGAGTGAAGTTGGTGCTTTATGAAACACGTAATTCTTGATTTCTTTCGTTGAATAGTGTAATATTCAAAATAAATAATGTTAAAATTACATTTTAGGATGAATTGTTTGAAGTTACGGTAAATGATGATCTTAGCTATGTTTCCATGAGTCAATATTTTGTCGAATACGTAATTTTTGATTTCTTGTCCGGGATTGTGTAATGTTCAAAATAAATAGTCAAAGTTAATTAATAAAGTATATTTTCAATATAAATTTTCTATATGCATCAGATTTAGTAAATTATACCAATGCGGTCACTTTAATCGGAATTTTATCAATTTCAATCCTTAGTCGACTTCAGCGTTATAAAACAAGCTCAAAATGGCGTGGATCTGATATTATTACTCTAACGTTATTCTAGGAAAAAAATGGCCAAGAGATTACTTTCCACTACAAAAATCAATAATTAAGAAATTGTTTTCTTATAAACTATTCATATACTCAACTTTGACCACATTTTATTTATTGATGTATGTGAATTATTATTTTTTTTGAAAAATATTATTGTTGAATTCATCTCATTATTAGGTTTTATAATCTTATTTTTTATTATTTTTTATTAATACATAATTAAATATCATGACGGTCAAAATTGTGCGTTGACAAACATGAAAAGGGGAATGTTGCAACTAAAAAACAACGGAAGGAATTCTTTTGTTCAAGAGGAAGTTTGTTCCAACATTATTGTTCCAGAAATAAATGAGGGTATTATGATATATATGTGTGCCCAGTGCAAGTACACACATATAAAACATATACAGGAGTATATAATACTCCCTCCGTAACACTCATATTTTCCCACTTTCCTTTTTTAACTGTAACATTCATATCTTCTCATTTCTAAATCATCCTATCATACCCTCAATAATTTTAAAAATAATACACTATTACAACTATTTTTTTTTATTCTTCATTCCAGCACACTATTTCATTATCTTCTAATCATACCCTCAATAATTTATATATCTTTTCACTATTCTTAATCACACCTACTTTTCAAATGGGAAGATATATCTGTTACGGAGGTAGTATCTATAATTATAAACACACACATTTCTTTATTTGTATGAGTTATATTCTTTCTGTCCAACTTTTCACTGTCTTTTTTGGACTTCTCACTCACGCTTTGAATTTCTATTTTAAGAAATAACAGACACTCTTAAATGATAAATTAATTAGCAAATACGCAATATTAAAAACAATACAGTATGACATTCCGGTTTTTATCAATGATCTTATTATGCAAGTTAGAATGTTTTTAATTGGATCCAAAATTTTAAAACCGATTCGTCTGGTATGAGCTAGTCTAGTCTGGTTTGATAGATGTGTGGTCCATGTGTAATTTACAACTGTCGAGGTCTGCTTTGGGACTGAAATCAATTCAAGTAAAAACATCATTACTTCTGAAAATGTACTCGAATTAACTTATTTAATTATTATCTAAATAATTGTGACAGAAACTTAATGGAGTATGAAGAAAATATTTTTTACTACGATAATAACAATAAATTATTGACATTATACTAGTATTTAATTCAGAATGGTATGAGAAGTACCAGTAGCTTTTGGATCTGCAACACAGAAGTCTTGAACAGGACTTGGATCGTAGGCATAAGCAAATGAAAACGCATAAGCAATAATGAAGGCAAAGGTTGGAATTGTTGAGTGAGAATCCATTCTTTTGTTGTACAGTAGGTTTTATGTGATCCTATTGTTTAAGGAAATGAAATATTTATAATCGTGTGCATGTCCATTTTCTATCAAATACTCCGTAATATTCTCTCTTTTTTTCCTAAACACAAGAAATTTAAATTAGGAAACATGATGCTATCCTTTTGGAGTTAATTCAATAGCATATAAAAAAGGACAACCTTATTTTCTTTCCTTTTAAAGTCTACGCACGTAATAGGACATGATGCGATACTTATTGGTCAACAGATTTGTATAATAAGTAGGAATGGAATGTGGGATGACCACTATTCAGGTTTGGCCACAATCAAGATGCTGATGGGTGTAGATCGCTGGTACATAATAGGGATGGACTCGGCCGGTCCGGGACGTGCCAGAACGGGCTTTTTTTAGGTTGTTGAGACGCGGAACTGGCTCGGGTAGTTACCGGCCCCGGGTTGGGTCGGGCTGGGTACCTTTTTTCCTAATTAGTTCCTACCCCCCACCCCACACCCCAAAACCCTCCAAAACACTTAGCCCAATTCATTTACTTCCCATAGATTTGAAAAAAAAAATTGGTCCGGACCGGGCCTGACCTGGGCGGGCCGGTTCAGTTTTTGGAGACCCGGAGCCTGGCCCAAGAAAATCCGATTCAGGTATAGTAGACCCACCGAGACCAATATAAAATTATCAATAACAAACCCAACCTCCACGTATAGTATTACATCTATGCACATAACAACCGCCTCTAGCACCCGCTCTACAACCATTCAACCAATTGACTCCGAGCGGCTGCTAGAGGCGGTTGTTATGTGCATAGATGTAATAAGGAGTATTAAAAAAGTCAATGGTCACTACGTCCATTTATATGATCCTATTTTTATAACCGCATTAATTTAGATAGAAAAGTCAAAAGTAACTATGATAGAGGCAAAACCATTTATATCTAACCCCAATTAAAGTTGTCTTCTTTACAATTTGCAAGACCATTTGTCGCCACATAGTAAGGCTAATCCTAACTTTTTATTTACTCAGTCAATTCAGTTTTTCATGAAATTCAGCATCGTCAATATAATCACACATCAATGTTTTTGAATTAAAGTCTTACTTTTTATTACTATGTATATACATCACTTTTTTGCCAAATTCTTTTTGCAAATGATTATGATTTAAAAAGCATGTTATTCTGATATAAAAATAAATAAGTTTGGAGTTTTTTTTACTAAAGTTACGCTTTTTGGATGGCGGGTCGGCCTGGCTAACTGGCCGGATGCTTGACCTCCCTCGTGCTGGACCGGACGACGAGCTCCCCACTGGGTTAGAGGCAGGCCCCCTGTTAGGACGGAAGGCGGGCTGCTGTAGGCAGACCTCCAGTAGGCAGACCGTCTTGGGCTTCCGCTTTGTTGGACATCCGCTCCTTGATAGGCTTGATCGGCTGGGCCGACTTGAGCTCTGGGTTGTTGGACGCAGTAGTTGGGCTGGCCATACGAGATAATGGAGTGAGGCTTAGGCCCCCTAGTCTAGGTCGTGGGCCTGAACTCACGAGTCCAAGTTTGGGGCTTGAGCTGATTAGGCTCTGGGCCTAATCCCATAACCCCATCAGATGTCATTGTTGTGACGCTCTCAAGGAGGAGATCACATGTTTGAACTAATCTCGAACAATGATGTTGGCATTTAACAGAACATATATTATAATTTGTGTAAAAAGTACGTTAAAAAACATTGCATTGTAATAAGTGTTTCACAAACTGGTATGAAAGGGTCGTCACATATATTAATTAACATGATTTATTTGTTTTATAGTGTTCTATATGAAATTTTACCTAAACTTTTACAAAAATAGAATTTATAAAGTATTATACTTCTAAGATTACATTGACACCAACGGCATTATCTTCTGACTGCGTCTCTGTGTGCACGCACGTTCGGGAGAGTAATGAGTTATGAGTATACATTACTGAGTATGATATATTGAAAGAATGGCAAGAACATAACTTATGAACAAAAATATGATCATTTTTTTCCTGGACAAAAAAGTGACTTGAAATAAATTCCTTTGACCCGGTCCGTCATCTTCCCTCTTTGGACTCTTGAGACTTCTCTTCGCACCGCACGTTGGTTGCGGATATCTCCGTGCCTTCTTTCTTTGCAACGCACACATCTGGAGAGCACATCGATGGTATCGATCTCCAACGCCGGACCCCTTTCGGCGCCGCAATACCTCCATCGCCATCGTGGGGTGCTGGGTGTTGGGAGCTGGGGCGTGGGGATGGGAAGTGTTAGTGGCCGGTGTACGGGTAGCATGGGGTGCCGCCGGCACAGTGGCTTGTAACAGTGTCGGAGGAAAAATTTGCCAGAAAATTCACCAGAAGATTTTTCGGCGAGTAGTGACATGTTTTCACGACATCAGTGACACGGGCGACAAAGATTATCACACGGACGACGGCCACAGTGACACAGGTGGTGGCCACTGTGACACAAGCGGCGGCCACAGTTACATGGGCGGCGGCCATAGTGACATCTGACAATGACTTTAAAATCGGAAAATGGCATAAAAATTCGGCAGTGATATAAATATTTGGCAGTGACATCATGCTTTTCCAAAAATATAACTTTCTTAGTCACATTTTTGTCCTAACGTGAATGTGGTCATATTTTCGGAAATCAATTTTTGTTTAGTAATATTAAGGGAAAAAGCCCTTATACATTTGATTTATATTTAGAGTTTTTTCCTAAATTATTACTCTCTTTGTCTCGTAGAGAGGTTCCCACATGGTTTACGATATATGTTTGATTGATCACAAAGTAAAGTGATCCCTATCTGTAATCAGTTTTTTTTAAATAAAATTTACATATTCAGAAATTAGATTAAAAGTTTTATAAAGTCACAAAAAAGTTGAATATATAAAGTAAGAGATTAAGAGGATTTTACATTGACCGGAGAATAGTGGACGAGAAACTTTGTATGGGACGGAGGTAGTACTATAAAAAATCAATGGACAAAATGTGATTATAAGTTACTATGTGTAAGTTTATAGTCACTATGATGTAACATTTGAATACATTTATAGTCACTAAAGTTACCAGGGTCACATTTGTGTCCACTACTTTTATTTTGGTTATATATTTTGAATTATTTCTTATATTTATAATGTTTAAGGCAAAATTAGTTAGTCTTTCATCAGTGTTGTGTATCATAAACTCCGATCTAAATTGTCTTCTTATATGGACAATGCCGCATACAATTATCACTATTTGTTTATAAATGGAATGAGGAAAAAATGTATTTTTTTCCCAATTGCTAGCGTGATATATGAAGAATGTTGCATACAATTATCTTTCGTTACAAATGAAATGAGGAAAAAAGATGTTATTTTTTTCCAATTGCTAGCGCGGTATATAGAGAATGCCGCATACAATTATCTTTATTTACAAATGAAAAGAGGAAAAAGATTTCACTTTTTTCCAATTGCTAGCACGCTATATAGAGAATCCTGCATACAATTATAATCTTTGTTTACAAATGAAACGAGGAATAACATTTCACTTTTTTCCAATTGGTGGCGTTACATGTGGACAACGTGTGTACAATTATCTTTGTTTACCAATGAAATGAGGAAAAATATGATAATTTGTTCCAATTGCTAGCACGGTATATGGAAAATGTCGCATACAGTTATCTCTGTTTACAAATGAAATGAGGAAAAAAAGATGTTGATTTTTTCAAATTGCTAACGTGATATATGGAGAATGTTAGGGTTGACATATGGAAAGGATCAGAGCTTGTCGTGATATGGTGTCAAACTTAGTACACAATACGTCTAAGTAAGTAATCATCATCCAAGTCTCAACAATGTGAGCTCCAATTTATTTAGTCACATAATTCGAATCGTTTACCGTTGCACAATCTAAATAAATGGTCATGTACCCCAATTTTTTGTTCCATTTTATGGCGTGACGTTTGAGAACATTTGACTACATTACGAAACTCTTGAAAGTGTATCTTAAATACGAGGCCATTCTCTCAAGTGGATGAAAAGGATGAAAATGTTGTAACTTAGTTTAAACATATCTTGAACTCTCAATAGTACAACCTTACACATGTTGTGTGCATTATCCTTTTAATTCTAAATGGACCATTATATTTACGGTTCTCTTGTGTTTGTTAATCAATATCAACATAAAGTTACACTATGCCATGTGAAATTGTATCCATATATAAAAAGTCTAATATAGGGATAAAGTTTAAAAGTTAATAAAATATTCATAATATGTGTATGTTTAGGAGGATAGTTTCACTCATGTGATCTATCCCGTCAATCCAGTTTTATATCAAACACAAGTCTTAGGTTTGCATTTGACCCGGAAAAGGCAGACTTTAAAATAAATAAACAAGGTCAAACCCAATTAAGCCGGTAAAATTTGCTTCAACTTTATTTGGCATCATTGAGCCCGTTTGGTAGCACGAAAATCGGCTGATTTGGCTGATTCTGCTGATTTAAGAAAAAAATATTTTTAAAATATATTTTATTAATAAAATAAAGAAAAATTATATGTAAAAATAGCTAAAATGATCATCTACAGTAACTTTAGACAATACAGCCACAAAAGTAACTTCAACCTTACTTTTTCTGCTTATTACACAATTCAGCGCGCGAAAGCAAACGTTACGTGTTTGGTGAAAAAGTTGGCTGATAAGTCTGATAAGCCGAAAAACAGTGTTGCCAAACGGTCTCATTATTTGTTTATTTTATCATACTTTGGTGTTGAAAATCATAAGCTAACATTGCTTTGGATTCAAGCTATTAGTCGCACATTATATTTTCACACCTCTCATATCCTAATCCCAAAAAGTTATACATGTGAATCATGATTTGTATGGCTGAAATGTGTCAATTTTTGTGTGCGTGTAGAGAGTTATACGAAGTACGGAGTAATATATTCTACTCAAAGTGGTGTACCTTAAATTTAGCCGGACAAAAAAACCACAAAACCGTTGATGATTAATGTCACATTGTAACACTCATCAAGTCAGATGTAGGTTAACATTGTAACATTGGGCTTTTTTCAATCTCAATGCAATTCAATGAATTCATTAAGAGCCCAGTTATATTGTACCCGCCAAAGACATACAAGCTCCCATA